CTATATTAAATCGAAGGTCGTGTCATGAACTATTCTTCACTAGCATCACCTAATCTATTTCTAGTTGGGATACAGTCATTTGATTGCCTTGCAACTCTTCTTGATGTCCAACAACAATCTCACTTGAGGATATCTTTAATAATGAAAATAGAATGCAAGTAATATTCATTACAAATAAAATGTTAAAAATAAAAATAACTATTACCCTAATTGATGGTATCCTCCCACCTATAGTCCCTCTTAATTTACCTTCTGGCTTAACAGGTTTAAGTGGTCGGTAATTCTTTTTATTCTTACGAGACTTGGCATTGTGCCCCGTTTCCAAGCAATTGCTATATGTCATAGCCTTCCCAAACTGAGTCACTCTTATACTTTGGTTCTTAGATTCTAAAATCTTCCTCTTAATATATGGCCTACTAGGCATTCTCCTTCCCATAGGCGGCTTTGGTTTGATTAAAGGTTCACATATTTCTCCCATTCAATGGTGTTATATGATTCTTGTAGGCCAGTTTGAATAGATCCTTACTAAACCATTTACTGACATCCTCTAAATCCTTGTTAATAAAGAGTATAGTGAATATGGAATGCACACAAGGAATGCATGATATGTTCCACAGTCTAGATTTTCTACCACCATTGCTTCAAAAACATTTCGTTTTTCAAACACATTCCCACCACTAAGGATAACATACCAATATCTACATACGACAAGCCAATAAATAAGCATACATAAACGTACATAATCATAATACCATCATAGATAAACATACATACTCATATAATCATAGATAAACATACCTATGATTTTCTCCCAACTTCTTTAACTTTTTTCTTACCACCAGACATACAACTGATTCCCATTCTTGTACTTTTCTACTTGTGCTTTCCTTGACATTCTGTAATGCCTCTCCATAATAAATATTCTTGTCTCGTCCAACATTGTGATTATGGGTTTCTTTTTGCATCAACAATGATTGAATTAAAGGATATACATATCCCATTTTCTACCGCCTCACAAACTCTACCTCTTTGAAAATATATGTTACACCATGTATTAGGGTCTATTTCAATAAAGTGATTATATGCATCAACATTTACTGTTTAAAACTTCTCCATGTGAGGTACAAATCTGTTTCAAAAGTGGATATAGCTGCTACCAAAAATTGTTTCTATACTCAACACCATCAAACCTTGTACGGAAATTAGCATATATGTGCCTTACACTTTGCCTATGCTTTGCATATGATGCTAATTCTTTTATCGCTTCAACAATGCCTTGTTGCATAAAAAATGATAATAGATACACTTGTAGATTCACAAACTGCATACATGTGTTAATGTTAAGAAAATGCATACCTTGTGTTGATTAGGCATGATAATAATCCTCGTTCATCCAATAACCTAAATATCTTCTATAAGTAGTTCAATGAACCACTTCTAATTCTCTTTGCTCTCCACATCCACTTCAACCCAAGCTACATAAGCATTCAACATTGTAAGTGAGTAAAGAAATAATAAGAACACTTCATAGTAATATAATAAGATGGTTTTGTTGTACATACCTATAGAGTAAATCTGATTATTCCCATCTCGGCTAATAGCCAATATTAAGTGTCCTTTGCACACACCTTTTAAAAAACAACCGTCTAGTCCTATAACTTTCATACATCCACTAATCCACTCATCTTTGCAATCCAATTTGGTGTCACTAGGGATCCTAAATTATAGTCTTTACTACATATATGTTTATCGTTACTGCTTTTAGTCTGATATATATTACTTACCATTTGCTTCTCTTAATTAGTGTTAATTGGTCGTTTATTTTAATTATATTATATAATGTTATAATTAAGTAAATTTTGAACGTTACTTTTGTTTATTTATGTTTGTCAACTAGATTATCAATTATAAAAATTGAATCATTAAAAAAATAGTGTTTAGAACCCAATTGACTTCTCTTCTTGCATCCAAGATGCCCATAATCTAATACGTGTGATCTTTCTGACCTTTTCCACACGTAAAATGCAACCTCTTTGAATCATTTTTCAGATACTCTAGTTGGTAACCAATTGCCAGCACATAGTTTGTCAAATACTACTTTAATTGACTAGGATTTTCATACCTCTCACCATGTCTGGGCTCCTATCAACTTCCAAGGAATATTAGGATCATGTATCGGATATGGATACCTTTTTGTATAGACTGATCTTCAACATTATTATCCTCTTCATCCACATTGAACTCAACATTGTCAATCATGTTTACATTACAAAGCTTATTTAAAAAAAGTTCATCAATTGTTTTGTTTAAGTTGATTACATCATCATCCTTTACGAGGTCGAAGGATAAAGAGTCTAACATATTTTCACTTTAATAGTCACTTATATCATAATTAGGATCATCACTAATCGCTTTAATCAAATGTCATCCTGTAAATATGAACAATAGCGACTTAATAACAATTCACAAACAAAAATACAATCGAGATGCTTAAACTATAACTAAGACTATAATGAAAACATGAAGTTAACATTGTTGAAGGAGATGTAGACAATGCAAAAATCAAAGATAAATGAGAGTGAATGAGATGTAGGCAATGCAAAAATCATAGAAAAATAAATAAGTAGTTAGAGTATTCGAACATATCACATTATCCCAAAAAATTTCTAGTAACTGAAAGGAACAAATGAGAGTAGTCGAACCTGGATGATGGCCGTTGGCAGCCGGTGACATAAACGATAACTTGGATCAGTGGTGATGGCTTGGATGGTGGCAACGACGACTGTGGGCTCAGCTGAGGGTCATGACGACCGGCGGTGCTTGACGAGCATAGCAGATTGAAGGGTGGGGACGTGGGATTGACCGAGTCTTGGCCGAGACAGTTTAGGTTTAGGAAATTAGTTTTATGGTTTTAAAATTTTAACTTTTACCTACAATGTCAGCTTTTAAGTAATAAGTATTAATTTGATGTGTTTTAAAATGCCCAACGATTTATTTATTCAAAATAATTGTCTAAAAACTTGATCATTTAAAATACAAAAGTCTATTAGGGTTATTTTGAACTTTTCCCTATATTTTATTTATTTGTAGGATGAGATGTAAATAGACATGAAATCGATCTTCACAGATTAAAACAATTGTTACAGATGTGAAATAAATAGAAAGTCTCGCAAAGAAATAAAGCAAATACCCATATGCTACGCCCCATAAATGAAGAAAAAGAACTACCAACCTCGATCGATAGTTCTATTTCATTGATTCTAAAGAGTAAAATCCATGAGATACTCAAAAGATTGATCTATGTTATATCATTTTAGTTTATGAGTGATCTCCAATATAGTATTAAAATCATATTATATTTATAGGTCCGATGCAGATTCGGTATGGGAATTATATGGATAACGTCCCAGCTTTACAATTGGACCCTAATTCTTGGACGAAGGTATGTGTATATACTTGTATCATATTAAATCTCTAGTGAAGTAGAACGGGTTAAAACGAGAACCATAAACATCACTACAACAAAAATCGGGTTTATAGGACGCTCCCAATTTCTAAGCGTCCTAATAGACCTCTGGACTTAGTTTATAGGACCAAAAACTATAGTGTCCTATCTAAAGGCGTTATAATAAGTTTATATGACGTTTTTGACGCCGTAATAAGTTTTTAGGACACTTTTAATATAAAGTGTCTCATTAGCAACTTTGTTAGAACACTATTTGAAAAATCGCCCTATAAAAATAAATGTCCTATAAAAAATTGAGTTGATAGGACAATTTCTCAAAAGTGTTTTATAAAGTTTGCTAATGTGACGCTTTGTATTAAAAATGTCCTAAAAAACTTGTTAAGATGCCCCGAAAATGTCATATAAAATTACAACGCCTTTAGATAGAACGCATTATATTTTGGTACTATAAATTAAGTCCTATAAAACGGTCTATTAGGACGCTTAGAGATTGGGAGCGTCCTATAAACCCAATCCAATTTTGTTGTAGTGCATTTTAAGAATCGGGGACCTCGTGATACATATATATATTCAATACAAATGTCGTGATAGATATTCATTATTATTTAAGGTTATTCATCATGAATAATAGAAGAAATAGGTGGTTCCTTTGTTCTTAAAATATTTATGGTTTTCATTTAAACTTGYTCTCTTGCACTAAAAAACAAAGAGGCTTCATAGGCGTACTTTTTCTAACCATAATTTTCAAAGGATTTGTGGCGGATCACCGCCTGATTGACCATCACAAAATCCGCCGTTAAATATGATCACAAGCCACACTTTCTCCGGTAATGGTGGCTTTTTCCGACGGATTACTGATTGGTAAAGCCTTTTTGTTTTGTRGTGTAGTKAAGTTGATACCTTGTGTTTACCTTATTACAATAAWATCCTTTATGGGGATTTAAAGGTGGCAAATGTGATATATTTGGATGCACCTACGTTAACCGGATATTCATACACAAAAAATTCCGAAGCCATTGTTTCTAGCGATACATCATCAGCAGAACAAACCGCAGAATTTCTAAGAAAGGTTGGTGAAGGTTTAATAAGTTTTCAAACGTATATAGGTACTATTGATGAAGGATTCTTACTAAGAATTATTTACAACGCAGTTTGTTAAAAACCATCCAAGGTTTTTAAAGAATCCTATGTATGTTACTGGAATTTCGTATTCGGGGATTATTATTCCGATCATTACCGAGGAATTGTATAAAGGTATAATATTTAATATTTGTACTTCATTCTTTGCATATTGGGTCTAATTTAGCAACAAATATATCTTAAAAGAAATAAAAGAAGAGTAAAATGACCTAATTTGTTTGTTTTACATTTCCAAATTTTAAAGGTAATGAAGAAGGACTAGAGCCAGTTGTAAATATCCAAGTAAGTATAATTAAATTTCGAAATTTTTCTATGTACACGATTTTGTAGAATTTTTTAGCACACAACATGCGATGCCATATATTCTATGGACATTGACGTTGGAATTTTTCAGGGATACATGGGGGGAAATCCACTGACGGATAAAACTGGTGATATAAACTCTAGGTTTGAATATGCTTATCGTGTGGCACTCATATCTCGAGAATTGTACGAGGTATGATATTATCATCTCCATTTCATCATGGTTCTATTCATATGTTTTCTTCATAATGTATAGAATGTAACTAATTTTATTTGTGAATTATTAATTATAGGAAACACAAAACGATTGTCAAGGAGATTATGCAGAAGCCAATTCAAACAAATTGCTATGCATGTCACGTATTGATGAAGTTAACAAAGTAAGAATAACTCATAACTATATATATTGAATTTACCTTTGTAATTATTTTCTGTGTTTGTAGCCAATACTTCATTTTCTTTCGTGTCAGCGTGTTGGACACATCAACATTCAACAAATTCTGGATCCAGATTGCGATCCAGCGACCAATTTGGTTAGAAGTGGTAATCCGATTATAAGCGGAAATCGAAAATCTCTACGGGCAACCAATCCAATTAAAATGCTTCCAGCACTATCTTTGCACAAGGATACTTTTTGTCGAGTAATTATCTCCCTTCTTTTTTTCATGCACTTGTATCTCTAATCATCTATGAATCTGTAAATTTATATGTTGTATACTTTTGAACAGGATGACTATTATAACTATGCAACACTCTGGGCCAACGATGAAAACGTTATGGAAGCACTTAACGTACGCAAGGTATATATACTAACCAACAATCAAATGAGGAGAAACAGAATGTTGTGTATGCTTTACAAAAATCTATTATTATCTTATATATATATATATATATATATATATATACATATATATAATGTTG